TTCATAATCATAAGTGATTTAATTCTATTACTAATTATTTAATATTTACTTAAATGATTATTATTATTTTAGAATTTAATTTCAATAAATAAATAAATTATTGAACATTTAATCACTTCATTGGTAGTGACGAATATTTTCAATGTACTCAAAATGTTTATGATACTAATTTCGATCCAATGGTGTAATGAGAAAAATGTAGATAAAAAAAATGCATTCGCCATTATTTGACGAATATGACCACTTAAAATATCTTTCTTTTTTTTTTTTTTGAACATAAATCAATAGGTAATCAAGTTTATAATATTTATTCTAGTCAAAAATGTTTTATAGACTTAATAAAATGTACACAAAACAATTATTAAAAATATCATATTTTAAATCTAAAAAGAAATCAACAATCTTAATCATTTGGTATAAAAAAGCTTTGGTTTTACACCACATCAAACATATATTGAAAAAAAAAATGCCATCTTGAAAAACATTTCTATCAAACAAGAGTTACTGAGTAAATGTAGCACTGAATTGTACAAACTATAAAACAATTAATTATAGTCCATAGTAGTTATACTTTCGTCTACATATGAAAATTCGTCACTTTTTTTAAAATCTATATAAAACCTTTACATAACAAAAAAAATAAAACCAATTTAAAGTAAACAAATTCATAATATTTACCAAACGATGACGCTGTTGGAGATTTACCTCCACAGAGTTCTGATCCGTCATCTTCTTCCCCCAAATATTCTTTTTCTTCTATGTCTAATTCTTCCTCATTATGATCATTTTCTTCGGATTTATTTCTGTTTTAATCTATAACAATTATAGTAAATAATTGTCAATTATTTTTGAATATTTTAATTAAATAAGTAAACGTGTGTGCATGTTAATTAAAACAATTTATTTCCTAATGCTTATCAGTTATAAAACTATTTCTAAATATTACATTGTATGCATCTATATAATTAATAAAGTTCCTATTTATATAGGATTTATATCAAAGGCCGAGCATTGAATGAGGTATGTCTGGTTATGATGCTATTAAGTACCTACTTACAGTTACACTACACTTATTTGTTTGCCAATTGGTTAATTTATGTTCAAAAATGATTCTTTGACCAATCATAGTTTTGGGACACAATTTAACCAAATGATATATTTTCATAAATTGTAAACTTTCAGTTGTGATTTTGTTTTACAAATTAAGATAAATACTTAAAAGCATATAATATAAAAAAAAAAAAAACATCAATAAAATGGGCATGAACTAAGTAATTTTACCTGTGAATTCTTGGTAGAAACAATCACCTTTTAAATGTTTGAATAGTAAATATAATTCAGTATTATTTACATCATTATTGCATTAAAAACTAAAAATAATATAAATTGTGTCATGACCATGTTATTTTGGTTACAAATGTTGTCATTATCGACATTAATTAATGACATATTAATATTTTTCATGACAATGTTATACTTATAACAAAAACAAATTTGTTAAGTTTTAAAAATTGGCAATGATCTTTAAATTAACAAATTACGTAAATCGACTAATCACTGCAAACCTTCGAATTGTAGTAGTATATTATTATTATGTACATATTTTCACTACCACGATTATAAGGATTTAAAAATATAGCGGGAATTTTTCATAGAAAATGGAATTATCTATATTATCCACGAACTAAGATAAACTAAGATAATAGATAATATTATGTATTATTATATTATCTTGTATAATCTATGATTAAGATATATCTTAGTTCATATTATCTAAAATTATATTATCAATGGTGGATAAATATTTAATTGTGATTTTATGTGAGAAACTTCTGATAAAGTGATAAGCTGTCGTTCTGTATATTATCCCAATATTTGTAATTTTGTACTTTGTAGTCTACTGTCTACCTACTAAACAAGAATTTTTTTTAAATATCTTTCGATAAAAATATGTTTTTATTTTTTATCAAAACTAAGTGTTTTCTGAATAAATTAAAAAGTCTCAAAACTAACTTACAAATCACTGGCAATAAATCATATTCTAGTGTGGAATATGTACAAGGACAATCGCCAGAGAAAAAAATACGAGAATATTTTTATTATATTGACCACCAAGGAATGGTTGGTACTCTACAAATCAATAATTACTAACTGCAAATTGATAAATAAATACCAAAAATTATAATTACATGTTATTTATATTTACTCTCAATTTAAGATTATGATTTATTTATTACAAACATATGGGTTTCCTCTTTTAACATTAAATAACAATACATTAATACATAAATAGAACATTATAAATACAATATCCTAAAGGATTATTTAAATGTAGTTATTAGACTTGTTCTGAATAGAAATTATTTTAAAATTAAGCTTTCAAAGTTGCATTAAATTATTTTTATAGATAATCTATCATATTTAATAGGCAAAATAGAGAAATAATTTGATATTCCATACACAGAATAACTGAAAAATAATTATAAATTGTTTTCATACCTACGCATTACTCAGGTTTTCTTTTTGAATTTCAAGTATTATACCAAATAAAATAATGTATTAAATTAGATAAATGTCTTACAGTGTCTATGCATTCTAATTTTTGTTCATTAGAATTGATTATGAACTGATAAATAAATTCACTTCATAAACAACTTTGAGGAAAATTCCACTGATACATGTATTGCATATTAAACATCAGATTACATTTAAAATTAATGTAAGTTCAATTGATTGTATCTTTGTTTTTTTTTTAATCTTAGAATTGAATATTTAATGTTTAATACAATTTAAATACTATTAAAACCACTTAATAATAAAATTCATATTTTTTTTTTTTCATTTACAAAAATTATCCTTTAATCATTTTACATGTTAACCATACAAAATTATTTCTTAAGCTCAAAAATTATACTTAAGTAATATTCATAGTATATATTTATTTATTTAGCTCTTTTTGGATGACAGCAAAATGAAAAATTTTACAGCAGCTTACAAAGGTACTATTATTGTATAAATGTATATGATCTGATTTATTTGTGTTATATATTTTGCAGAAAAAGATTTCTTGGTTTTTTTTTTTAAACGATTAAAACAAAACACAACTGATCGGTATAGAGAACACTTTCCATGGATATCCTTATGTGGCAGAGAACGTAATTTTATTCGTTGTGATGATTATCCAATTGTGTTTAATGAGATAATCAAAGCTGATGATGGTAATTTTTTATTTTGCCATAACTACGCAGGACCAAATTTGACAGTTTTATTTCAACCGAATAAACTTTGGATGGATGTTGAAAATGGTAGAGTTTACCGTCCAGCCAATGAGCAACATGGTTCAATTGGACTTGTATCATCTAAAACTGCTATTGAATTAAGCAAGATGTTTATATATGCTGATATGGATAGTTATATACCAACACATTTTGTGTGGTATGATAAGAAATATACTTTAGATTCAGATTGGTTTAAAAATTTAATCCATAAATGAATTTTACCTTGGTTTTTTTTTTTTTATAAAATAGTGAGACTTCTATTGTGATATTTTAAAAATAAACTGTACTATATATTAATATATTACCTATGCTTGAATTGAAAAATTATTTAAAATATATTGAAATCCACACACATCAAAATATTAAATTATTATCTCAAAGTTATTTAATTGATCAGTTAATTAAAGAATTATTTTTAATTGATATATACTAAATATT